CTGGGATTCGAACCTGTGCTATATTACATCTTAGGCAGATGTCTTAACCATTAAACCACAGGTCCTCCTCCTTATCAGCTATATATTCTTATATAATGGATCAGTTGTCGCTTTTTTTGTGAGTGGTTATTTTTCCCTGTGAGAAATCCATATGTCTGCTGTATTTGATATAGGATAAAAGTAAATAACCCATGGTCAGAGTAAAAGGCAAGGAGGTATGCTTTGGGTGTGTCAGGAGGAAGAAATGTCAGTTTCATTCAATGCAACCTAAGTTTAACAATTTACAGATTATTTACAGCTGTCTTAAAATGCCATAGGCTTGGCCCAATTTATTTGCTTCAGTCCAAACACTTGCAGTATGTGAGTTGTGGACTCAGCCTGGTTCACACAATAGATGTGTGAGATATTAGTTCTCTGATGATGCCACTGTCAGAGTTCCAGGTAACACCCCCAACAAAAGAAGACTCCGAGCCTTGAGTTTCCTCAAAGTTCCATTTTATTAGAAATGTCATATTGGCACATTTGGGAAAACCCGAATCTGAAAGTTTCCAGGTTTTCCCCATCCAAAAGAAAGTTCAAGTCCCTGCCCAGCAAAATTGGGCATGACTTACTTAACAACTAGCTTGCTTAGCAACAGAAATTCTGGTCCCAACTGTGGGTTGTAAGTCAATAGTAGTAATTGACTCACAACCCACAATTAGTAGCAATAGTAGTATTAGTAATAATAGCCTATAGTAGAATGTCATTGTTAAATTGCCCTTTCCTAACCATTAGTTCCCTTTGAATATCTGCTTTTTTAAACTAATGGATTGCTTTGAGCCTGTTTTAAGATTATAAACAACTTTGGAAAGAAATATATAAATATACAGGTAAACTGATATTCTGAGGGACCGTCTCTTGCTGGTCACATTTACCCAACCCATCAGAGCAGGGAGGCATGGAATGTTGCAGGAGCATTCCCGAGGAAGATACACCTGGTGGGAACTAGAAGAAGGGCCTTCTCCATGGTGGCTCCCTCTCTCTGGAACATCATTCCCCTGGAGATTAGAACTCTACTTTAACACCCACTCCAACACTCTTCTGGAAGGCACTGAACACCTGGTTCTGCCAGTGGAGCTGGGGAACCCAGAGCAGGATGGAGCTCAATAAACGGCTTGTGTGATATGCTACCGCTGGGGTGGGACGTGAGGGTGATTTTATTACATTATTTGATTTTTTAATTAGTTTTACTATTTTTAGATGTGGTTTTCATATTCTGTAAGCCACCTTGACTCACCATGGGCGAATAGGTGGCAATATAAATTTAATAATAAAATAAAATAAACATATAGGACTGCACAATTAGAAAACTAAATATTTTTTTCTAATAAATCTGTATAGTATTGGAATAAAATTAGTAATCTTTTTATTTGAGAGACTTGAGAGACCGCCTTCTGCCGATTACCTCCCACAGACCCATTCGATCCCACAGATTAGGCCTCCTCCGTATTCCA